GGTAAAAACTCTGTAATACCAAAGAAAGCAAATGTAATCCAACCTATCCTATCCCCAAAAGTAAGACCCATTGGCTATAATGCAGTTTGTGCTGTAGGATTGTAACATAGTTCAAAAAAATTGCACATGATTGTGTTAAGCCTCTTTTTCTCTAGCTATTCCTCTATTCTTCTTCATTCCTTAAGTTTGTTTATCTGGCTTGGTGCCGTCTTGGGAATTTAAAACCCTTGCTATTTTGATTGCTCCTAATAAAGGTATTGGCTGACTATGGTTCTTAAAATATTTATAAAAAGGATTCCAAAAGGAAATTATACATTAGCAGTAGTGCATCATTACTATTTATCCTGGATGGGCTGTATTTATCCTGGATGGGATATCTTAGATTGCTAAGAGTGTTTTCCCCTCTCTGAAAAAAAATCTGCTCTGGAGAATTGAGGAATTCTCTTGGACTCGTTTGGATGCCTGAGGAATGTTGCAAGCAAGGAAGGAGGAAGAAGGGACAGCAGGTTATAGCAATACATGTCATTGTTTCAGTCCTCTGCATACCAGGTCCACAACATAGGACATAAATTAATTAAATATTAATCAAAAGTGACACTTCGTTTGCTTCTATTCCTGCCAGTGCCTTCTTGTTTGGTATTTAATCATCTCACTATTAAATTCCAAATATTTCTCAGTCTTCTTGTTTGATGTTTTATCAGGAGCAAGGCAAAGTTTTTGTGACCTGAGAGCCTGTTGTAAATATCTTTTTTGTCATTCACTTAAATGATAATATAGTAGATTTCCAGAGCAGATATAGAAGTTCCATTTATGGATGTACTCAAGCAGCATCTCCACACTAGGAGGTCTTGTGTCACCCCTGCTTAGTCTGTGCCAATTTGTTGCTAGTTGGACAATTGACTGGCTGGTAAACAGACCTGGCAAATATTGCTCTTTTTTTAAAAAAACAAAAACTTTCTCCAAATCTCCATATAACCCCCAAGTCTATTCAACTATTAACACTTTTTCTGTAGTATAAGTCACTTTTTAATAGGTATATATTTTCAGCACTCAACCTTTTGGCTAAGATCAAGTGTAGTTCAGTATTACTTTAATCATTTTAAGATAAACCAAGCCAGAGTGTATTTAAGAGCAGATAAATGTGCCCTCCATTTTTTGGTCTATTGCCCCTATAAATCCAGTGACCATGGATTATGGGACTTGTAATCCAAAACATTTGGAAAAATCAGGTTAGTTATTGGGGTTAGGTTTCTTTCCATCCAGATATAACAGCCTCCACATACCAAGCCAGGACTTCCACTGCATCTCCTCTTTGGCCCAGGATAAAAACTTACAACTAAATATCGTCAGTGTATTGATGAAACCTCATCTTGTGCCAATAGATGGAGATGCTAATATTGGATACTTCTGACTTAAATGTGAATATGAACAATACCACTAATTACCAATAACCTTGTAATTAGTTATTAAACTTAAGCACCACTGATTACTCATGCTGTAGAAATTAAACAGCAAAGCAGTATTTCACTAAAATATGTAAAATTGTAAATTATTTACCAATTCCCTAGCAGTTCATAGCAATCACAGAATGCTAATCATTGTGTCTTTTGTCCATGAAGAGTAGTTTAAATAGAAATATTTAATGAAAAAGAGATCCATTGATACAAGTGGCTAAACATATGTCTCCTTTGTAGCAGTTATTTCCTACACTTTACTTAAACCAATAATTTCCCTATTTTCGAAGTCAGATGGTTGTTCATCCCCCATTAGCAAATTTTGATGAGCGGTACAGGTAGTCCTCAACTTACAACCATTTGTTTAATGACCATTCAAAGTTATGACACTGAACAGTGACCATCACAGCATCCCTGCAGTTATGTGATCAAAATTCAGGCGCTTGACAACCAGCATGTATTTACGATGGTTGCAGGGTCCCGGGGTCACATGATTGCCATTTGCCGACTTTCTCAGGGGGCTTCTGACAAGCAAAGTCAATGGGGGAGCCAGATTCGCTTAACAACCATGTGATTTGCTTAATGACTATGGCAAAAAAGGGCATACAATTAGGTACAACTCAACAACTGCATTGCTTAGCAATGGAAGTTCTGATCCCAATTGTGGTCGTAAGTCAACGACTACCTGTCCTTGACTTTATTACGCACACATGTCCAACCCACTTCAGTCCTTGCAAAAGCATGGGGAGTCCACAACTTTATATCGTAACTCTCAGAAATACTAATTGCCAGTGCATCACTGTTTAGAAAGTTACTTTAAAAGCAGCAACAATAATAACACTGAATTTTGGAAGAAAAGAAATGCTTGTATGCCATAAATTTACATTATGAATGGCATTCAGTATCACATGAACTGGGAACTCTTCACTCCTTTAGTTCCCCCTGCAGGCTTCTCATAACCTGATGCAGAAAGTCAGGAGCACTAAAAGGAAGGTTTACAGAAAGACAGAATTGTGACTTTTCCTATCCATAAACAAAATCACTTCCACGGAAGCAAGCAGAAAATTGGATTTTTCACCACCAAGGAATTCCAGTTGTATAAAATGCAAATTTACTGTGATCATGTGAAATAAAATCCTTCAAAAAATACAGTACATAGAATACCTAAAAGTACATTTCTGAACTGGCAATGAACACTCTTTCAATTCTGGCAAGGAAAGATGAAAAGTAAAGAGTTAACTCAGGTAAATTCAGATATTTAACGGAGGGAAATAAGAAGAGGTGAAGAGTGTTAATGCTTGTATTAATCAAATCCCACCCATCTCCAAGAATCTATGGAAAATGAATTGCTAGGGAGCTTTCATTTCTTCTGAACTCTGCATTTTTTTTGTTTGTGTCTTTCTGCTTGAATAGTTTTCCAGAGGAAGGGGGGGGGGGAAGGGATAAATGGGAGATAAAACATGGGCTGATGGGCAAAGCATTGTAGTTATCTGAATGTCTCATGAAATTGCTGTAATGACTTACGAACATTAAAAGTCCAACTTGAAGCAGCCAACATAATTAACCTGGAATTCCTGGCAGCATTCAGTATCTGACATTGATAATAATTGATGGTCAGCTGAATAGAGTTCTTTACAATTAATCTGACTCAGCATTTTGTTTTGTTACATTAATGGATGACCTTGGTTCAAACAGTCTGTTTATAATTATTTCACAATATTGTTGCAAGAATAAAATGGGAGGCACCCCAATGTATACTGAATTCTTTGGATCAAGAACAGGGAAAAAAATACAATAATTACTTTTTCTATGGTTAAAATAACCATTCAAAAATTAGCATAGCCATGTTAAAAAGGCCATTACAAAAATTTAAATGGTTTTACAGACCTTAATATATTTCTTGATTAAATTTCTTAGAAAACAATAAAGAGCTTGCCATTGTCTTCTTCAAATATGAGTTTGGAGTTCCTTCTTGCAGGTAGGCTTGTTTCCCTCAAGTCTGCCTTCTCCCTGTTATGGATTAACTATAATGTCAACTCTATTCTTCCAATATTAGCAGGTACTTATGGTCCTGCCATTATCCTTTTCAGGGTCATCGAAGGTATTGAGCCACTGCACCATGTCAAGGTGGTGTGGCAGTGTAAAGTGGGCACAGTGAAAGAGTGAGAAATGTAAGAGGGATACCTTTGAACTATAGATTTGGATATGGTGACTAAGAATACCAAGGACTGCAACAAGAACCAATCCATCAACACAGACCAAAAAAGACTGGTTCCTTGAAAGAATGATCAGCAAGCAGAAATTCATATACTTTGGCAAGCAAATGTGTTTGGCAAGATTGTGGGTAGTAGTAAAAGGGGAAGAGAATACAGGTAGTCCTCACTTAACCATTCATTTAGTGACCATTCAAATTTATAACAGTGCTGAACAAAGGGACTTACAACCGGTCCTTGCACTTACAACCATTGCAGCACCCCTACAATTGTGTGATTGTGATCCAGGTGCTTGGCAACCAGCTCACACTTACGATGGTTGCAGTGTGCCAGGGTCATGTGATTGCCATTTGCGACCTTCCCAGCCAGCTTCCGGCAAGCAAAATCAATGGGGAACTGTGTGATTCGCTTAATGGCCACAGTGATTCACTTAATAACTGCTGCACAAAAGGTCATAAAATCAGGTGTGACTCACTTAACAACCGCCCTGCTTAACAATAAATTTTCCAGTCCCTATTGTCATTAAGTGAGGAGTACCTGTACATAGGTAGATGGACTGGATCACAGAGATTATTAGAATGTCCTTGAATGAGCTGTAGACTTTCAATGAAAGCAGGCTGAGATAGTGAATGTTGGTTCATACTGTACTGACAGCAAGTGTTGAGACCAACTTAATAGCAATCTAACAATTGATGCTCTTTCTATATTAAAGGATTTTATACATGGGCATAAAGTAATTTAAACTATATTAGGATTGCTAATATTTCTTTTACTTCCAGGTATCAATAGCAAAGTAGAAACAATTACGTCCCACTTTGATATCAGAAAGTGGTAATGGTTTATCTATACCCTCATCTATACACTCAGAGCAATTTGCCCAACAAAAATAGTATTTTTCAAATGTCAACCCCAACATAATCACTAAATAAGACAACTGAAATAGTATTTTCTGCAATATAAATAGTGGGTAGTTAAACTAAGAATCACATAAAATATTGTAATGTTTTAAAATGTAAGCCTAAGTGTGAAAATTTGGGGAAACCAGGTAATTTTGAACTACCCTGTTAAATCTGAATTATATTCTTGAAATATTGATTGTTCTCTGAAAACTCTTGCTCCTAATGTCACCATTGTTTAACAGTTTCTGACTTCATTATTGCCAACTTCATTATTGCCTTCTTTAACTCAAAAAAGTACAATCATTTAAAAAAAATTTTTTTAATGTTTACATGATAGTATCCATGATCAAGACTGTAACTGTTCAACCAGATAGACACAACAGCATCAGTATAGAAACATACGGTTATATTTACAGAAACGACTGTACAAAATAATTTATTATTTACAACATCTCACAATAGATGTTGACAGACATAGTCCATATCATCTCCTTTAAGGAAGATAAGAAAAGCTATCTATCTTTTAGGGCATCAAAGAAGCGATGCTCCAAGGCTTCATCTAGAGTTATTCTCTTGGATGGATCATATTCTAACATCCTGCGGATAAGTTCAAAAAGATTCACATGGTCTTTATCATGACAATGCATAAATTCCTAGGGAAAAGAGAGAAATATTGACTTTAAAAACTTCTCTTAGAACTTCAGAATTAAGTAAAGAAATACATTTTTTGTTCCTTACCTTTAATGGTTTGCATCGTCTCCTAACGTAACGGCCTGCAGAACTATGTTCATCCCAGTCCAGTTGGTTATGACGGAAATAACATTTCCTATATACAAAAAGGCTAAATTAGTTACATACTCTTTTTGCTGTAGTTCTGATGCATGCCTACAATTTTTACGGTTAGCATCATTCCTGTAACCTTATTAAGTTACTTCTTAAAATGTTTCCCTTACTATAACTTGCCAATCTCCATTTTGGGCTATCAGTATGACTGGGCTGTTTACAAATATCATTTATTCATTCATAAATACATAAATGTTTATTTCTCTGAGCGTTTATAATATCCTTAATGCAATCCTATGTAAAATTACTTGACGCCACACTAAATTCAATGAAATGTATGCCCAAAGTATACACAGAGATCTATTTTAACTGTAGCCTTGTGTATAAGGCAGTAAAAGATCAGTGACTATTCCTATTTCTCTACAGAGCTGTACAAAACGATTACAATTTGAAATGCATTATTTTGACCATACTGAAAGCATTTTAAGCTTCTTCAAAACAGTTTTTAACTCAAAAATCACTTCTTTGAACTTGAATGACTTTCAGAAATAGCTGAAACAATGCAGTCTGAACTTTGAAAAATACATTCCAAACACAACTGGTTTCAAATTCAAAATACTTTGAACACCTCTATTTTCTTCCTTAAGCTCTCCTATGCTTTCTTCCTTTCCTCAAGCACCTTTCAGGGGTCCCCTTCCTTCATCTTTCTTCCTGATTTTATTTTTAGGTTGCACATAGACTTAAGCTACTTTTCTCAACTACCATTAAGTTTTCCATTAAAAAATAGTTGTCACTGATGCTACCCCTATAGTGCACTTTATTTTACAGCTAGTTATTTTGGCACACAGCATCAAAACTATTTCTGTGCATTTTAACTTGGAAATAAAAGCTCCCAAGTTCAGTTGGAGTTATTCTTTTCTAAGCATGTAGTATTAACACTAGAAAGGAAAGAAACTTTTGCCTTGGTCAAGGCCATTTCTAACACTTTAGAGAATGATAGAAGGAACAGATTAAGAAGTATTCTAACTTTCAGGGGCAGCTTGCTTCAATGTTTTGGCTGCCCAACTCAAAGTCTTAACTTGGGATGGTTTAGGAAAAATCATTTTTGGCTGCTCTTGCAATCCTAGTTTATTTGGAGCAACAAGCCAGGGATTTGATCTTGTAGTAAAGCATTCATTCCTACTCAGTTTTCTCTATGCATGCAAAGGGAAAATGAAGCACAGGAAAGTGGGCTATATCCACAAACATGCGGTTTATTTGCATCAAACAAGAATCAGGGTTTATGATCCTATGCAAATATTACCAGTATGGTATATTTTAACCCCCCATAAAAGAAGGTTTCTTTGAAATTTGCTGTAAAAAACATGTTCACAATTTAAAATAAGCATACCGTGATTTTTTAATCATATGTAGTGGTAAAGGTCCAAGTATCCTCTCCATCATTGCCAGGTGTTCCTTACTATCATGTGTCTGGAAAAAAAAAAAAACCCATGAAATTAAGCATATACCAAATGTAAACATTAACAATCAGAATACACTTTGCCCATAGCAGCATGTTTTCAAAGAAAAGGAGCATTTCTTCAATCTCCAGGGTTCTGGATCCTGAGAACCATGCAAAAACCTGGGATGCAGTGTTCCTCATCTGTTCATTTTACAGGTAGTCCTTAATGTTTAGCGACCATCCAAAGTTACAATGGTGCTGAAAAAGTAACTTTATGACTGTCCAGCGTCCCTGCAATCACACGATCAAAATTTGGGTGTTTTAGACCACTGCATTTTCCTGCAGTCACGTGATCACCATTTACATGCTTCATAGATGGCTTCCAACAAGCAGAGTCAATGGTAGTAAAACTGCAAGGTGCAGTCACATGAAGCCTCACTTAATGGCCACATCACTTAGACACAGAGTCGTGGATCCCAATTGTGGTAGTTAAGCGAGGACTACTTGTACTCAATATACACTTTTTCTAGTGGTGTGCATAACATTTTGAATTAGAACAGTTCTGAATTCAGAATGGCTGTTTGGATTTAGAAACAGATTGTTCTGACCTCACTGTAAATGTTCCAACAGTCTCCTGGCTATGCCAGAAGTACTCAGAACTTGGTCACTTCCAGAGTAGTAAGAACAGCACTGAAGCACTTTGGTAAGGCTGGAGCAATTCCACCTTACTATATTAAGGTAAGCAAATTTTGTCTCTAAATATGATATAATCTGATAAATAATCCTATCCACATCTCATAAGATATCACATAAAAAGTTTAACAGATCAAAGTGGATTCAATGTTCCATTTAACTCTAGAATTCTAACTAAAATGTTATATGCATACCTGGAAGACAGTGAAACCAAGATAATATTCAATCAGAATGCAGCCTATACTCCAAACATCACAGGGCTGAGACCAACCAAGTGCTGTAACACAATTCACAACATTTTAATTATTTCACAATGATGCTCAGGATGAAAATCATGAACCAACATCTCCTGAGTAATGCTCACCTGACTTCTTAAACACCAGGCTTTTCCCCATTACTTTTAAAAATAGGAAAAGATAGGGAGGAACAGTAACACTGTACATATTAAAAAGTTATGTATTAAAGAGATTCTTAAATTGTTTATAGAAAATGATTAAACAAACAAATAAAACTAAACTAACTTTAAAAAATTTTACTAACCAAGTATAACTTCAGGTGCTCTATAATGACGTGTAGACACTAAAGTGCTGTGATGTTCATTATCATATGTTGCACTACCAAAGTCTACAACTTTAATATCTGTGTTTTTCAGGGTGCGTTCATCTCGCCTCTGTAACAAAGTAAAAAAAAAAAAAAAAGCATATTTTAGTTGTATTTCTTGAATCTCTTATAACTGGAATATACTGTGATCCAAGAAATCAACTTCTTAAAAAACTCTATGTTCTTCAGACTAAAAAAAAATATATATTGTTATGGCAATGGAATACACTATATGGAATAAAAAATGTATAGGAATAACCTACAGGGAAATATGTTTTAGCACTTACCATTTTAGAATTGTACTTTACTACATAATCAGACTCTACAAATAAAATATTTTCAGGTTTCAGGTCTGTATGAGTCAACTTATTATGATGCAAGACTGGAAAAAAAAAGAGGTAGGAACTCAATATTAAATTCATGTATAATATTTTAGATACAAATAGTTTTTAAATTATTAAATGTACTTACAGTTTATGGACTGACAAATCTGATAAGCCATCTTCCTAATCAGTTCAATAGAAAATGGCAAAAAGCTATTTTCTTTAATAAAATCATAAGTACTGAGTCCCAGCAGTTCAAATACAATGCAGACATGACCATGATGTTCAAACCATTCCAACATCTGCACACAACGACTAGGGAATAGAAACATCACCAAAACAAGACATTAATAAATCAGTAAATTATTTAATGCTTTAACACAGTACTAATGTTTTAGTTTATACTTACAATGTGCTACCAGGATCCAAGGTACTTAAATGCTCCAATACCTGTATTTCTGAACGAGCTGCTTCTCGGTATCTACCAACACTTTTTACAATTTTTATAGCTACATGCATCTCTCTCCTATGAAATAAAGTAAAATACTGCAAATTAACTTCAGCCTTTTTCAAGCATATAAGAAAAATCCCACTATAATCATGATTATTTGCCACTTATTAATACTATAGATAAATGGGATTACATAATATTAGTATGTCCTGATTAAGAAATAGTAATAATCAGTTATCATTCAACAAAAGTATAAAACTTTAGAACATTGTTGTCTTATATGTAAATAATATCTTATACCTTTTTTTCTGGCAGGGGGTTGTAGCTATCAGCACCAAACCCTACCAGAATAGTACAAGATTACATATTGATCAAGTCAAGACTTCCCCTTTAATTTGTAGGAGGGGAGTAAGGTCCAGCCTGTTCATGAAAAGGTGGTAGGAGAAAATTTTGTAACTGCCAGCATTATTTCCCATGATGATCCAGAGAGTCTCTTAATCCTTTTCAGCAGTATTTTATGGAGCTTCAAGCAAAGGAGAAATCACTAAACATTGCCTCCACACCCTCCAACCATGAGAGCGTATCATATGAATTCATTTTCATTTTTCAAGAAATCTAGCAATTTTCTCTTCAAAAATAGCTGGGTATGCCAGGAAACAAAGTGGCAACTTGGCATACTTATGATTCATTGCATTAACTTCTCAGAAACAGGCACAATTCACAAAACTGAAACTGAGAAGATAGATCAAAATATGCTCAAATACTCTAAGAGGAACTGGGGGAAAACCTTCAGAATAATAGTAGTTAGTATTATTTTTAACATGCCTTTCAACCACCCTAACAACCAATTCAAAGCAATAAAAACATCAGAATATGAAAGACTACTAGTAAATAAAAATCTTTACACAATAAAATAAATACCTTCTTTACAATCACCAAACACCAAGACCATAAACATGTAATCCCATATCCTATTAAAATAATCAGTAAAAGGATTCAATGAAGAATACATAAACCTTAAAAATACAAAGATCAACATTTAAATGTTGAATTCAGCAGAAATTATAGGAACGCCATTAATTTTTCAGGACAGGAAAACTACTGAGGACCTTACTGCCTCAAGAGTAATTCCTTGGAGGTTACAGAGCAAGCACAATGGAAAGAAACAGTGAGTGGGGCAGCACCATTCTCTTTCCAATGTCCTGTCTTTTCCAAGCAGCCAGCCATGAGAAAGGAATGTCTGAAATTAGGCTGAGAGCCTCATATGTCCCACAGCCGAGGCTGCAAGCCCCTTGTTTAGGGTAAGAATATTCTTGCTTAAAGAATATCACTACAGAAATGTACAATCATGTATTTGAGACAAAACCTATCTATCTAACCAACTACTTGTAAAAATCAATGAAAATGTGAGATACAACATTTATAAACAAAAATATATCTATGGGAGCTGCAATAATGAAAAATACTACCCTTAACAAATACCTGACCCCTTATCATACTGTTTGCCTTACTTTTTTTAAGTTTAATTTGTTATTATGGTCTACTATTCTTGGATGCATGAGTCAGCTTAATCGTAAAGAGAATGGGTTTAAATAATGTATTAAAAAGGCCAAACCCCAAAATGGTTAAAATTAAAACAAAGTTTTAATAATTAGACAGTAAAAATTACATGTAGCTTGGGGTTGAATGTTGTGCTGTTAAGACTTCTCTGAGCTAGGATTTGGGCTGCTAGGTTAACATCCTCAGTGCAGGAGATACAGAAAAGTTTAAATTATTATAGCTGGCTACAGAGCTACCATGTAAATATTTTTGAACTATTTTTTGAAGTTTGTTTTGCTTAAATTAATAGCATGGACAGTAGGATTTCTACCTTCATACAAACACATTTCTTTTGATAATAATTTTGAGAAAACAGCATACATACATGTGATGATCAATGCATTCCACGACTTTCCCAAAAGCGCCTTCCCCTAAAGTAGCAATAACTTCATCTAAAAAAAGAAATAAATTCCAGCTGTTATTGACTAGCTGAATTAAGCAAAACATTATTAAGCCTATCATTATAAAAACATTAACTTACTGTCTGCTTCGGAATGTGTTATTTTTATTGGATAGGTGTCACAAAATAGTTATCTAGCTATCAATCTAACCTTAAGCTTTATTTACTGTTGTGGTTGCCTGAACAGCAATATTTAAGAGTACAGAAAAGAAAAGAAATAGAATACAAAGACAAAACAAAAGATAAAAGAGAGCAATGAAGCTTTCTTAGCCCCGCCCCCACTTATCCTCTAGCATACTATTCTAAACAGATGTTTTGCTGAATTTTTTTTTAAAAGTGTTGAAAAATATTCTATACATCTTGCTCTTAGTACGTCTCCACTTTGACAGATCAGGTGACCCTCCTCATCATCCTCTACACTCCTGGATCTTTTCCTTCGGTGGCTCTTCTGGAAACGGCACCAAGATCGTCCAGCCAATCAATATATCAGAGTGAATTCAGGGTAGAATACGCAATTCATTCAGCGGGGATATTCAGGCATTCAGTTACGCACCAGGCCACGAACAGTTGGCAGGAGCAATTTCAAATTCAGTCCCCAGAAATTCACAGGGCACAGTTTATGTTACAGAAGAAAAACATGGCAAGGAACAGATTTTCAGATAAATACTTAAAGTTGTAAGACAATAGAAACACAACACAATTTTGTCTCTTAAATATTACATTAACAGAAGACTGAAACTAAGATTACAATCTAAATTATTTATTTTTGATAGTTGAAAGCATGTTTTTGTAATTTTTATCTTTATAAAACAGGCCTGATCTCAAATATTTAAAAATTGTAATTTGATTGATATTTATCAACAGGTTATTCATGCAACTATTTATGTTCCATAAACGGACAAGCTAAAGAGAGAAATATTAGTAAAATTTGTAAAATGCAGTCTATAATCTAATATTCTGATGATTCAGATCTATAAGAACAAAGTCTTGAATCTGAACATTTTTAAATTTGAATATACATAATGGTAGTACTTTATTATTTGTGGAATATCCAGATCTTGCTAACTATTGAAAATTTACTCTCCAACAATAATAAAATCATTCAATGCCTAAATTTGCTTGAAACTATGGAACAGAAGCATCTTGAATTAATTACAGACATCATATTAATAAACTAATTCCACTGAAACAGATCCATTTTGAAGTACAAGGAACAAGCTAGACAGGGTTGCTTCACCATGCTGTAAGACTAATTCAAGTAATGGTAAGACAGCTTTTATTTTATGAGCTGCAAGATAAAAGGCAACAAAGTAATCTGAGTTTTCCAAAGTGGTGGACAAATTAAGCCAAATGAAAACTCATACAGTTAATACCATTCATTATAGAAGAATCTACATGCATACACACACCATCACACACAAATATTAAAATAAAATGCAGGTGTAATTCTTCATATCAAATCTTCAAACATTCATATCCAGAGAATCTAATATTCCTCGAAGTAGTCTAAAATAAATATACTGTAGCCTAATAAATATATTTATTATTCTTTTTTTAAGCATACATACCGAATGTGAGCTGTAACTGGGATCATGTTTCTTATGCTTTCTTTTATGATTCCTTTTCCCACTTCGACCAGAAGATTTGCTATAATGATGACAATGACTCTTTTCATAATGTCTGTGATAATGCTTATGGTCATCTACATCACAGAAGTCATTTCGATATTCCTCAACGTATCTTCTGTCATGACGGTCTCCCTCACGTGTGGATCTATCATCCAAGTAGTTACTGAAAATATATTTATATTATTTTCCCATATTAAAAAAAGTAGTTAAAAACAAATATATTTTATAGAAGTGTGCAAAATGTTTCCATCCTGACCCTTTTCAAATTCAAAATGCTTGTTTCATGTTCAAAACAGCTGTTCCACGCTTCACTATTCAAGCTTAAAATACTTCTAAAAGAATCAGAAGATCCTGTTTCGAATGTGAAACAGCTGTTTCAAGCTCAAAACAAATATTTTAATCTAGAGATGGGCTGTTTTGAGTTTGAAATGGTTTGGATTTTAAATGTTCTGCACACCAGTAATATTTTCTACCATTTAATCAACTTCCAAAAATGGACAATATTTTCTTAGAATCCCTATTTATCTTGAGCTCATGATGAAAAATATACTGTTTACTCTGTTATACAAATGAAAGTGTTAAGCTCTTCATGTAGACAGCAACTATATGAAAGTTGGGAGTTCAAGGCATTAGCAAAAAAAACAGCAAGCAGATATAATTAAAAGTTCAACCACTCTAATTCCAAAAAAGGCATAATTAATGAGCTGCCCCACCTGAGTGTGTGGATTGCTTATGATGAACAACAAAAGAAGTGTCTTTTTATTTAGACAGTTCATCCCATCTGCAGATATTCTAAAACCACAAACCGATACACAGGGCAGGATGAAAAGATCTTTGAATTGGGCAAACAAAAATGCTGAGGGAGAGAGATTGCACAGTGTTCCATAAAAATGCCATCAAGACTTTGGAAGCCTGTTTGTACAAAACATCTTTCCCCAAGTGGACCTCTTGGTACTCTACTTCACTCTGAGAATTCCTTCCACAAACCTGGGTCAACAAAGTCCTGTGTCATTTCACTTAAATTGTAGTTTAATTTAAGGTTTTTTACAATAAAATATTTGTTTTATAAAGTGATGACTAATTAAATCAAGTAATTAAAAAGTGGAGTCACTTCCTTAGCCAACAACTCGCTTGAAAATAGCACTTTTTTGAAAGAAAAGAGGGAACTGGGAGCTCACAACCAGAGCAAACAAAGAAGCGCAAGAGAGGACAGTGACCACTATCTCTACAGACCAAACATCACTGTGAGTATATCTACTGGGAGAGAAAGTCAGGGCTTCAAACTCTTTTTGGATCAGATAATTTCTAAAGAAGAATATCAAATTACTAACAATAATTAGCATAGAGATAAAAAGCCAGCAAGGGAAGGAGTAGTTTCCAGTTTATTGCACAGTATGTCAGATGTACACAAGTGCCATGAGTTTGTGCTTCATGCTGAGAGCTCCTGACTCAAGAGAACAAGCTGGTTCTCTTGAGACTAACATGACAGAACTGGAAATGCTCAGACAATCACAGAAAAATGTAGACAAGACCTTCTGAGATGTGACATTTTCCCATGATGACTTCCCTTGTCAGGGAGAACAAGGGTCTTGGAGAAGAAATATATTAGTTCGAAGATAAGGAAGATGTTCCCATGAACCCAATTACTGGGTGATAAAGCCCCTTCCTCTCAGACCAAGGATATTCCTTTTGGGGGGGGGGTTGATTGTGAGTGATTCTATTAGGAACACAGACAGGTGTTTGTCATGGATGTGGTTACTTGCCTACCCAGTGCAAAAGTTGCAGATTTCATGTCCCATCTTTAGATAAGCTGCTCAACAGTGCTGGGGAGGAGGCAGTTGTTGTATCCATATTGGTACCAATCACATTAAGAAATGTAGTCTGCCATTCTTCATAGCCAAATTTAGGCTGCTAGATAAACTCAGGACTGACAAGTCAGCATTCTCAGAAATGTTTACTGCCCTCTGTGCAAGGCTAGACAAGTAGTGCTCAGAGGTCTGAAGGTGTGGATGAGACTATAATGTCAGGAGGAGAGATTTAGTTTGTTTGATACCAGGGAATATTTTGGGAGAAGAGATGGGACACACCTGAGCTGAAATAGAACTAGGCTGCAGGTGCATAACATTACAAATGTAGCAGAGCAGCTTTTATACTGATTCCAGACAGCATCTGATTTGGAAGGGTGTAGATATTTTGGGGAATACTATAAGAAATAGGACCATTATTGGAAGTGAGTTAATGGATGGTCATGTCAGTTGAGAAATTTAAAAAAAAAATGAAAAGGATATGAAAAAGGTTCATGCCAACATTTGGAAAATGGCATGTGTATGTCAGAAGTCTTGAGCCAAAACCACAGATATAGTAGAGACAACAGAGATCTGATAGAATGGAGAGAACCAATGGAATACAGCCATTTTTAGGTACAAAATTGATATAATGGGCAGGGCAGGATGTATTGGGAAAAGAGTTTCTCTATATATAGTCAGGCTTTAACTCTAACATACTAGAAAATATTGGACAAGATATCTTCATAGAATCATTAAGGTGCCAGTATCTATCCACAAATGTGAATTAGATCTAGGGATGTGCTATTGCTTAATCAGTCAAAATACTGAAGGAGATCTTGAGTTGCTGAAATAAATCACAGAGGCATGGTAGGATAAGTTCTTGTAATAATGGGAGTCACTGATTATCCTCACATACTCAGGCATGACAAAGAAATCAAATTTTTAAATACCTAAATAATTATGTCATAGAACAGTGGATCTTAGAACCAACCACGTAACTGTCATAGAACCAATATAATTATTACATTTAGCATATATGCAATGCGAAACTGCCAGCAGGGTCCAACACAGTCACATCTGAATATAAAAGAAAACTAGCAAAAAAGAGACCAAAATGAAAAATCAAGCCATAATGCCTAGAGGTTTCTTAATTCTTATTCTTATTCACAATAATTGATGTTCAGCTAAATGTATTTCACAATATAAGAAAGGGTTAACCAAAACCAGGAAGAGGCCAAAATGGCTTTCTAGTAGCATCCAGGAAGTATAAAAGAAGGCTACCTTCAGAACAGGAAAGCCTATCCTAATGAGAAGGAAAAGGAGCACAAATTCTGACAGAAAATATACACTGTATGGTGATAACAAGGAATGCAGGACAAGAATTTAAGAAGCATGTGGCAAAGAGCTTAAAGGAGGATAAGAACATCCTTAAACACATTCAAAGAAAAAAAAAGGCTGGGGAAGTGATTGGGCCACTAAACAACAAAGGCATGAAAGGGACACTCAAGGATAATACTGTTGCAAAAGATCTGAATGGTATCAGAAGTAACTCCCAGTCAGGGAAAGTCACAATTGGCACACTAAATTAATTTGCGCAAAGGCATTCCTGGACACAGCTGCCGCATGTTGTTCGAGCAGGAGCTGTGGAACCAGGAAGACTCACGTATTGTGACCAGTTCCATTGGGAAAGTGTAATCCTATTCCGAACTTAAAGCTGGAAAATCTCTGGCAGCAGAAGAACCATAAAGCCATGGTCAATCAATCTTGTGGTTGAATGTATTTATTTTAGAAATGTATAATGCCTCTCAACTCTACAATGAGTATGAACAGTGTACAATAAAAACAATAATTCAATACAATTAAACAGCACCACTTAAATGCCAGAAGATAAACAACCATTAAAAGACACATAGGATCACTGTAATTCAAGGTCTGGGAAAAAGCCAGGTTTTCAGAGCTCTTTTGAACATGGCCAGGATGGGGGCCAGATGTATTTCGGGGGATGGTGTTCCAGAGGGTAGGTGCTGTGACAGCTCTTAGATCCTACTGGATGGCACTGCTTAACTGGTGGGACCTGCAGCATGCCAACTCTGCCCAACTGTACAGGCCAGATAGACAGGATCAAGCACTTCCCAAATAACAGGATAAGACCATACCTCAGTAAACGTGATCAGACTGCCCAGTCCAAATCTAACTCACAGTCCATTACTTGCCTAGTATGTTCCAATAGGTCCAACCTCTCTCTGGGGGTGGGTGGGTAAGACAGCACCAACAAGCCAAAAACAATCAGAAAGTGATCTGACCATGACAAAGGACTAATAGTAATATCCTCAACCTTCAGATCACCTCATGACTACCTTGAGGTAAAAACCAGATCTAACATGTAACTGTCACTGTGCATTGGACCCTATAATGACTTGGATCAGGTTCATGTTTGCCACAGTGGCCATGAACTACATGTGGGCAAGTAAAGTCTCCAAAGGCTATCACTTTTGGAACTTCAGTGTTAATTAGATAAGGCTATGCAGCAGTAACAAATTCACTATTCCCTAAAGCCCAACTTCAATCACTCTCTCTCCACCATCACTTTTACCCTCTCACACCTGCCCAATCCCTCTCTCAGGTCCTGGACACCATTTAACATAACCATCCATATGACAGTCAATCAAACATCCTCAACTTAATTGCCAGTTAATCTCCCCAAGCTGCTTCAGCCTTGCTGCACTCAGCAGCTGAAGGGAAGTTGCATAGCAAAACTAGGACCAGGGGCTATCCAATGAAGCTCACTGGAAGGATAAGCAAACAAGTAAAAGGAAGCACTTCTTCACATAGTTTATAATCTACCTATATAATTCATTACACATGACATGATGATGGTCATGTGTAAATTCATAGAGGACATGCCTATCAAGAATTAATTGTCTTGAAGACTCAGTGTTGCTTCCAGGTTTGGGACAACATCCCCACGTATGAGATACAAGGGAATCATGGTAGGAAGGGGGTAAGTCTCCATCTTCTACTTGTGAGAACAACAGGGATATCTGGGTTGCTACTGAGAATGAAAATGCTGGACTAAAATAGGCCTTAGATTGATCTGCATAATAGTTGAGCTTTTAATGAACACTACAGATGCTAAAAAGCC